TGCAATAATTCACATATAAACTTTTTAATTTGATATAAAATAATCTAAGAAAAAATTTAATTTCTTCCTTTTAATATGAATTAGAAATTTATATTTATTAATTTTATGTGAAAGTTACAAATTGCATCATCAACTTAGACATATTTAAAAGAGCTTAATTGTAGAAGTAATATTTTGATCAATTCATGATTGTGTAATAAAATATACCTTTATTTTTCTCTATCCATAATAATATAGTACATAAAAATTATTACTACACATATAATAATAATAATAATAATAATAATAATAATAATAATAATTATAATATTTATAATAATAATACATTAAAATAATTAACTTGTGTTGTCATTTCAAAGAAAAAGCAGGAAAAAAAACTTAGAAGTGTGTGCCATATCTTATCAAGAATGTGATGAATTTTTAACTTATTATATGATTGAGTATTATTATGTATTATATAAACCAACCATTTGGTTGATGAAAACCACAAACAAAATACTGAAAAAAGCTCTTGGTTTACCTTGCATTTCAATGGACAGAAACTCATATTTTCCCAATTTTAATATGTCTAATTCTTCTGAAGACGATAGCCGTCTTCTGTAAATTCTCGTTATAGTCGAAACATACCTCTTCCGCTTGGTCAATTTCCCAGAATGCAATTGCAACCCCAATTCCAAAATTTTTCATATCAACCTATGCCTTCTTTTTTTGGCCAAACCCCTGAACAACAATCTCAGTATATGTGGTCAATGGCATCCCAATATAATATGCCAAACTCATTTGGCATGCCTTTTCAACAAAGTAGCTTCATGCCAACAGCGATGAGTACTGGCTCACAAGATGTCGTAAGAGGTAGTATTGGACCAGAGGTTGAAGTCCTTGACCACATTTTTCTTAACAAAGATATTGAAAAAAATAAGGAAGCTGAGCCAAAGAGAGGTGCAAAATCGTCTGCAAAATCGTGGACACAAGACGAAGATACGCTACTTTGTCGAGCTTTCTGCACTATCTCGAGTGATCCGATTGTTGGGCTTAACAGAGTTCAGATGGCTTCTGGAGGTGAATCACCCAGTACTACAATGAAAATGCTCAAGCTCAGAACTTTATTGAAAGATCCATGGAGTCGGCAAAATCTCATTTTTATTCTTTTCATGGAGATTGTCTAAAATTCAATGCATCAATAAATAGGTTCCGAGCTGACTAGAGGAGTGGAAAAAATGATGCTATTGTGTTGCAAAATGCATTAATGGAGTGGAATAGTGATGGTAAGAAAAAAGGAGCCTTCAAATGGCTTCACTATTGGAAAATTCTAAAAAATAGTCCTAAATTTCAAGGTTCGTCAACGAAAAGTCGAGGAGGGAAAAAGTCTAGAACGTCTGAATCGGGAGATCACACTTCTGGATCTGGCCAAGATTTGGAGCAGGGTTGTGATGATGAGAGATACGTGTGTTGCCCAATTGGTCAGAAGGCAGCAAAGGCAGGGAAGAGAAAGGTAAAATGCGGCATGGGAAGTAACACTGATAAGAAAACTGAACGTATGTTAAAAGTCTTTGGACATATTAAGGATATACGTGAAACGCAACAGGTTGAACTTAAAAAGTTAGTTCGTATGGAGTCTTGGAAGACCTATCGAGAAATGCTAAAAGAGGACACTTCAACAATGACCGAAGAAGAATTAGAACCTCACTATGCGCTTCTTGTTGAACTGAAAGAGGAATTGGGTCTGAATTGAATTTTTAATAATTTTCTAATGATAATTATGTATTGTATTTTATTTTAAGTAATTTGTGTTGTCCTTAATTTTAATTTGTACTTATTTTTTATTTTTATGTACTCGATTTCTCTTTAATGTTTAATTTCAATTTTTACCATATTTTATTTTATTTTGTGTACCATATTCTACATGCACTAAATACATGTCCATGAAATACATTATTTATTTATGTGAAAATTGAAACCAACCAAAAAGTAAAGGTAAGGTTGGTATAGTGATGGACAATCACGTGATTCCCACCTAACTCATCTTTTCTCATTATAAATATATGTCATTTCATGGATTCTCATACACACTACCTACTTCACAAAATAATTTCACATTCTGCATCTTATTTGACTTCTCTTTTGTAGTGTTTTATAACTTTTCTTCTTTTAAGATGTCTAGGCGTACCAATGACAGAGTAGCGTATCGTGCTTTCTTAAAAAATATGCTTGACGATTCTTTGGTGCAGGCTGAATTTTCTCTGATGGAGGCTGCGATTAATCAATTCGAAGAAGTCGAACAAGGTGAAAATTCAAGTAGGCGGGAAAGGCGAGTAGTCCATCGAGGTCGTAATGTTGGGCATTCTCTACTAATAAAAGATTATTTTGCTACCGAACCCACCTATCACGATGGATTTTTCCGCCGTAGATTTCATATGTCGAGACGTTTATTTTCACGTATTGTTGATTCAATTGAAAATTATTCTGATTATTTCAAGAGCAAAACAGATGCATCTGGTAGACAGGGCTTTTCACCCATTCAAAAGTGTAGTACTGCGGCCATACGCCAACTAGCATACGGAGCACATGCCGATCAGTGTGATTAATATTTACGCATGTCTGAACAAACAGCAAATAGAAGTCTTATGGAGTTTTGTCGAGTTGTGTGTGAGGTATTTTCATCTCAATACTTACGCTCACCTAATGCTGCCGACATCCAACGACTACTTGCATTGCACGAGGAGAAGCATGGTTTTCCCGGAATGTTGGGGAGCCTTGATTGTATGCACTGGGAGTGGAAAAATTGTCTTGTTGCTTAGCAAGGCTCGTACACTCGAGGAGATCATAGCGTACCAACGATAATGCTTGAAGCAGTAGTCTCACAAGACTTGTGGATCTGGCATGCATTTTTTGGACTTGCTGGGTCACGAAATGATATTAATGTATTGCACGAGTCCCCATTGTTTAACGATGTCTTACACGGGTTAGCAACAGAGGTAAATTTTACAGTGAATGGAACCCAATATAATAAGGGATATTATTTAACAGATGACATCTATCCAGAATGGGCAACTTTTGTCAAGAGCTTTCAGTGCCCAGATGATCCAAAAAGAAAAAAATTCAAGCGACGACAAGAGGCTGCAAGAAAAGATGTTGAGCGTGCCTTTGGGGTGCTCCAGTCAAGATGGGCAATTGTACATGGCCCCGCTCGTTTATGGTATAAAGAAGATCTCAATAAAATAATGTTATCATGTATTATTTTAAATAATATGATAGTTGAGGATGAGGGTGATGAGACAACAAAATGGTCCACTGATGACACTGAGCCTTCAGTCCAAGCAAGACAGGGCCATCCAGAAAATTTTTGTCGGTACTTACAAATAAGAGCCGAGATGCAAGACCGACAAGTCCATCATCAACTTAGGCACGACCTAGTTGAGCATATTTGGAATGGACCTAACTAACAATAGTATAATAATGCGATTAATCAATATTTTATTTCATCGTAACTTCTACGTGCAATATCATGTATTTTTTCTTTATATGAAATTGTAAAAGTATTCTAGTTTTTGTTAGTGTTTATTCAAATATGAAAAAGCTCGTTTTCATCTTTTTTTTTTTTTTTTTT